AAGGAGATGTTGTAATTGTTGCTGATGATAATGGTGAGAAAGTAAGTTGAAGTGAAAGAGCGCGAGGAAAGGGAAAATAGAACGACTATGTGCGTACCATGTATATTGGTTGGCAACAAGGTGACCTCGCTGTCAGATGTCGCCCTAGGCGAATGAACAGGCATGTGAACCACTGCGCGACTGGTCAGACCAAGAAGAGAAGAGAAGATAGGCGGATACAAGGAAAGAGGGAGGGGAGAGGGGAGAGAAGAAGGAGGGAAGCGGGAGGGAAGAGGAGGAGATGGTAGTAGGAAGGAGAGATGGGGGGGAACCACAAATAGAGGGGGGTATTTGGGCAAATGTTGACAGGGGCAAACGCGATCGATCGCGTCGTTGTTTACTCGAGTGATAGTAGGAATGTATGGTGTTGAGACTTTGCTAGTAGTGCAGGAATGCGTGGTTTTGAAACCAGGCTGTTCGTCAGACAGAGACTGTCGATTGATCCTGAAATAGGTATCTCCAAATACCGATTGCACAACACTCAGCGTCCCAGCAGCAATGTCGCTGTCGCATGTTCGCCTTCGACGACGACGAGCACACCAGACCAGAATGATAGCAGACTAGTAATATTAGCAGTTCTAGGCGGCTAGATACAGAGTTAGGCAGCAAAGACGTCCCAGTCAGGCAGAAGACCCCTTCAAAGGACGGCGCGCGTCCTCACCATGTGATTTTTCGTATTCCTGATCTTTCGTCCACACCGTCGACGTCCTTGCCTCATCACTCGACGCTCAGCCGTTGTTCTCCTCCATTTCCAAACCTTGCGACGAAAGGACAACCCCAGCACCCATTCAACCCTAGTCTAAACCTCAGCTCCGACTCTCGGTATCACCGGGGCTCCGATGCACGAATTCCCGGGGAGGGAAGTGATGACGGTAACGAGATGACACATCTTCCCTGCACAGTCCCCGTTGAGAACTGGACCAACATCCTTCCCCCAAGGATATTGATGGACAGCGCGGGAACTAACCAGAATCAGAACCGGTACAGGAAACAGGCACCCCATTATCAGCGTTTCATATCAGCACAGCTATATATGTAATATCACGGTTGTTGAGCATTTGACAGATGGGGTTCACACATTCGGTTTGTTGTCAGGTTTTTGCGTTATTTGTTCGTTGTTATCTCTCCCAGCTCAACGGACAAATACTCCGAGGCACCGGTCAACATCCAAACGCTGGCCGATGTCCCCGTATCCTTCTGTCGTTCGACTATCATCAACGTAATCTATATATCTAATCACATCTTGCAACTGAACCCTGGCCCGTTTCGTGCGGATCAACAAACCACATGAGTCTTGGCACGGTGCAAACTTCCTCATGTTCTTCCCGAGTCTTTCCCCTCAGAACAGCCTGAAAGAAATCTTTGCTCTTGCAGAAGTCTTTGGTCCCTCGGCGTATTTTATCATGTGCCTCTACACTTGTTCGCTTCTAGCGCTCGGCCCTGGCTTCTGCACGTTAGTCGTCACGCTGATGCGCACCGCATAATGGCGGAACATGTTGGGTGAGCTGATGGAGGGTAGGCTGAAAGGCAATATCTCTTCATACCCGGGAGACTGCTTTTCCCTCTTGCTCTCTCCATACTCCAGCACAACAACATCCGCATACCAGGATAGCAACACATCAAGATCGCGGTACCAAATATCAAGCTGTCAAGCTAGGAGAGTATGTCTTACCAGATGACGATCAACGACACTTCTCCCCTGGTGCAGTACACCGGCGGGTGGAACCAGTGTTTTACCGTCTCGGGGTGTACGGCCAGCGCGGCGGGCGCCTCCGGTGTAGGGGAGAGCTATCACGCGGTGAATGGCAGTGGGGTATTACAGTTGACGTTTTCTGGCAAGTCGCAATCTTTGGAATATGGATCCCACTGAGGGAATGTACAGGGGATTCGATACAGGTGTTTGGAGAGTTCGGGGATGCGGCTGCCGGGACGATCTCCGTTGATGGCAGCGCGCTCGCGACCAGCTACTCTGCCTCTAGCGCGGAAGGACTCGACACCCTCCTCGCTTCGGCACAAAACCTCTCATCTTCTCAGCACACCCTCCAACTGCAACCTTCGGGCCCGCTAAACTTCACCAGCGCAGTAGTCAGCGTCTCCTCTCCCTCATTTCAAGCCGTGCAGCCTACCTCCTTGCCATACTGGGACCCAAGCATCACCTACTCGGGAACATGGACGTACCCCACAGTCCAGGGACTGCCCAACGGCACTGCAAGGACGAACGAGCTCGGCGCACAGGCTAGGCTCGGGTTCAATGGAGTGGGAGTGGTGGTATATTCGAGTTTGAACAACGGACACGGACCGTTTAACGTTGTGCGTCCCTCTCCCTTTCTTAACTTGTTGCCGCTGAATGGTAGTGCCGCAGACACTTGACGGGCAGACAACCGAGTACACAGCGGCCGGGGAACAGTGGCTCGTACCGGAGACGATCGTGTACTATGCTTCCCACCTACAGGAGGGATCCCACGAGCTCGTGTTGAGCAATAACGGCGCTGGGGGGAGCACAACGTTTACGCTGAATAGCATCACTGTTTACCAGCTGGCTGGGAGTGGGCCGGCTACCGGAGGGAATTCGACTACTACTGCTCCTACGACGGCGTCAACTACTCCTGCTCCGGCTGGAAATGGAGGGAATGGTAGTACGTCAGGGGGGACACATGCGGGCGCCATCGCTGGAGGTGTGATAGGCGGAGTGGCCGGCCTGGCATTCCTCATCCTCGCTGTGTTCTTCTACCGCCGACATGCGGCTAGAAAGGCGGTGACTCCCTTCCTCCCTCCGGTGGAAGACGAAGAAAAACCTGGAGTTGTCGGACGGCCAACTCTGAAGGAGAAGAGCGCGATGGCCTCTACCCGCAGCCTTCCCTTGCGCACTCCCACCCGCACGCCCCCAGTCCCCTCAACAACATCAGCCAGCCAGCCGTCCAATAACCTCACCTCCGCGAAATCCGAGCAATCAGCAGTAAGCGACGCCCTCACCACTGCTGGCGTCGGGCCGAACGCGTCTTCCGCTGCGTTGCTGCAGGATCCGGAGGCGGCGAGCGAGGTTGTCGATCGGGTTTTGGAGCTCTTGGCTGCGAGGATCGATCCGCATCGGCCCGGGGAAGGGGGGGTGAATCCCCCAGAGTACAGAGATACACGGGAGGAGTGACGTGCTGAATCCGGAAGTCTGGTAGCGCACGAGAGTAAATTGGCAGCAGTTTCTTCATATCGGAGGTCCACATGTGATAAAAGGGTTTTTTTCCTATCCACTGGTGTAAGTTATTTTACGAAAATTAGGATCCATCACGTATGATGATGCATTCAACTCACGAGTCTCGCGTTGAAAGTGGGAACCCAGTTTCGGAGTTGTGTGTCGGCACTCCTAGGTGCATATATATGCGTGTACGCTATGTACCATAATGCATGCAACTCGCGGGTCTCGTATGCGAAGTTTAGACCGGTTTCGAAAGACGAGCTATTTATGGAAACCAGGATTGACCATGTATGATCATGCATACAACTCACGTGTCTCGCAAGCGAAGTTGAAACCGAGTTTCGGAATTGGATGTCGTGGGTACATATATGCATACTTTCTCTCCCTATTGACAGGACTGATCATGTCTAGTAATGCATCCAACTCACCGGTCTTGCATCCGAGCATGAAACCACAGTTTCGGACTATGGTGTCGGGGTGCCTCGCTCCTAGGTTGCAAAAGGTATATATATGCATGCTTTCTCTCTTCCTGTCGACAACTTGCTCTTCCACTTCTATTCTTACTACCACCATGTTTACTTCTTCTGCCGCTCAAACTTCAGCCTCCTCGCGCAGCGCTAAGATCGCCCGCCTGCAGGGTCATCTACCCAACGCTCCGTCTCCCACACTGCTCCCAAACTCCCTCTCGCTCGACATACTCCCTCCAAGTCCTTCATGGGAGGGACGCTTCCCTTGCCTCTCCGATGATTCACTCTTCCTCGAGACCTGCCCTGGGTTTCCCTTCCCTGACCCGCTCTTCCCTGCCGAATATGCATACGATGCTCTCCATCCACTCCTCCCCGCTCACTCCGTGCCCCTGGGCGAGGCTTCTACCACGCATATATGCGCGATGATTTCCCGTGACGCGAAAAGGGACTTCGACAGGCGGCAGACGCCCTTGTCCGATCGCGGCCCGTCTCGTCCTTCTCGCCGCGCATATACTCCTTCCACTCGGATGTGCCCCAAGCCTGATGCGGCGAAGGAGACCACCCGGGTGCAGCGTGTGTGCGCGTCAGTGAGAAAAAGAGCCTGTGCTGCTCGGCGCATGGCTCATCTTCTTCCTTAGGCATCCAGTCAGGTCGCGCATACTCGGGAGAATAAGGAAAACGTGCAACCAACGCCGGTGACACGAACCCGTAGACCTTCCCCCCTTTCCTCGCTTGATTCACTCGAAGTACTTGGTCATATGTCGCTGCCTCCAACGAACGTGGCGCAGGCCACCAAACAATACCCTTCTGCGATGAGCAGACGAGGACGCGAGCCGCTTTCAGAGATCACGTCTCTCGCCAACATATTCCCAAAAGCCACCTCAACCCCTGCATCTCATATGCCCCTCTGTGAAGGGAAAAGAGGCAACCATACCAAATCCGCGAGTTTGGGTAATGCGCCCTCCGCAATGATCGAGGTACCGCGCTCAGAGGCTATCATTGCTGCATTTGCTGGACGGGGGGCTATCGGAG